TAACCCCACTCTGCCTCCCCCCCCTTTCTCTCTTTCCCCCCTATCTAACTCTCTCTCTCTCTCTCTACCTCCTCTTCTCCATTCCTGCCTTCCACTCGCCCTTCCTTCCTATCTAGGGCCCGTCGTCTACCGCCACGACGGGCTTTCCTTACTAGTGTCATTTTATAAAGAAGATACATTCCTTGAACATTGCCTGTCATGGTGAGATCTAACATACATCATGACACAAGCAAAAATAGCAAATGCTAGTGGAAAGTGCCATCAAAGTGCAGCTGATTTATGGCCACCCCACCCCCCCCGTTTTTTAAGGCAAGAGGCATTCAGAGGTAGGTTGCCATTGCCTTCCTCTGTTTAGAGACAGGGCTGACCCTGCTTAGCTTCTGAGACCCTGACAAGAGTGAACTAGCCTGGGCCATCCAGGTCAGGGCAGTTGGATAAAGACCAGCTTCCAATACAGGGGTGTGTTCAGACATCCAGCATACGAAGCAGATGTAAAATCACCCCAGGGTTACTGTGTCCTGTTAAAAGCAACTTGGGAACTAAATCAGACCTGAGAGAATGATGGACATTTGCAGGAAGGCTACAGAACTGCAGCTGAACAGTGAAGGCGAGGAAAATGTAAGACCCCTGCCACTCCAAACGTGTCAGATTTCAACATGATCATTCGTTCAAGACATCCTTCCTTAACCCAGATCTTACTCCAACTTCATGATTACTTACAACCTTTTATGGAGAAGGAATGTGAGATTCTGAGCTTTATGCTGGGAAAGTTTAATACTCTGTAACATTATGAAATCTAATTCCTGATGGGAATACCTGGATTTCAGTGAGTATTGTGGTCTTCCTTCTCTACAGATTGAAATATTAATAATTGGGACTCTGTTCCATTCATTGTAAATCCATGTTTGGTTTAGAAAATGCAGCGTGCTCAAATCCCCTATTTAAAAAAAAAAGAGAGATTCCAGCATCTCACTGATTAGAGCTTAGTTTTGATCATGCTAGAAGGCACGAAGTAGAACAGTGAGCCCCAAACAGTGATCAACTCGCTCTGTGACACTAAAAAAGGAAACACAGTTATTTTGGGAACAAAAGCCTGAGAGTTTGTGGCTCTTTTAAAAATAAATGACCTGACAGTTGCTTTCTGAGCTGTGGGCTGCTTGCTTAGAGAACTTTCAGCTTCATTCATGAGTCATTCAGTTGAAAATAGCAGTCAGCGAGCACAGAAAAAGCCATGCAGGGCTAGTTAGAGATCCAGTGCACCCTTGCGTGGGAGTTTGTTACACCGCCCACAGTGGGGCTTATTTCTGAATAAATTTGCATTCGGGGGTTGTGTGGCATGACTGCGATGATCTGCGCGCTTGCTTGGGAGGAAGTCCCATTGACCCCAGTGAGTGAGACTTACTTCTGACACAGGATCAAGCCTCTGGGGTCGTTCTGGCAGGCAGTGTCATCTTCTGTTGTATGAAATATGCCAACTGCTCTAGCTCTTAGAGATTAAATGAGAGGGCTATTTCTGGCATAAAATGTAATATGGGACTTCTTTGCCTTTATATGGTAACCTAAGTCTAAAGATCTAGGGATCTTTGCAAGATCTGCTCTCTCAGCTGCCTCCCCAGATGCGGATAGGGAGGCAGCCATGTGACCAGGAAGGACTACGGATGCCTTCTTTGGGGGCCCAGGTCTCTCTCTGCCTGGCATTTGACATAAATGACCAGAGCCATCATGGCTGGGATATGCCTTTGTCTCAGAGCCTGGAAAAACCACTGCCAGTCAGAATGCACAGTGCCCGCCTCATCTTGTCAATTTTACCAATCGGGAGGGACCAAGATGCCCTTCTCAGTTCCTTTTTGTTCCCATATGTTCTCAGTGTGCATTGTTTTAAGCCACCCATTTTCATCACGGCTAGCAATTATTTGTTTCTGTTATGTTTGTATGTATGTATTTGTTTATGTTATATTTATACCTATAATGTAAAACGATAATTTATTGACACACAAATAATGTGGGAAAGAACGCATACGTCAAGCTGATTGTCTTTGCCAACACCAAAATCTGCTGACACATTCATGGGATGAGGAAGGGATGAGTGCAGTTTGCTGAAGAGGCCTTCAGATATATGTGGCCGTGGAAAAGAATAGCCTCACCAAACAAGGTGCTGGTTCTGCCCCCAACAAGCAGCTGCAACCAGGAGGCTGTAAAAGTGGTGACTCAACAAACACAGAAATGGAACAGTTACAGTTAGGGAAACACCCTCCTAGTGAAGAGAAAGTTATTTGCTGTGGTGTGTCGTTCTGTGGGGATGCAGGCATCTATGTTTGCTGGCATTTTTATAGTAAGTCGTGTATCATTGCAGATTAAGCACAGGAATGGCAAGGGGGGAGCTGCAGTCTTTTTAGCATAACTAAGGATTTAGCTTCTCTTTTATTGCACCTAAATTGAGATATTTGGAAGTGCTGGGATCTCAGGTACATCTTCTGACCCATTTGGGAAAGCTGTCAAATGATTAAAGGTCTCAGGTTCAACCTTATGCATACCTCTAGGACCAGTTGCATTGATGTCTGGCAAAATGCCAGAATCATGAGCCCACAGGTGACTGTGGAATAGGTCCCAATTGTTTCCAATGTCTTATTTAATCTAGAAGATACAGACTTTTTGAGCCCCCAAACATTTATATTCCAGATTTTTATTTCAGTTTTTACCCTTTAAGATAGCTGCAGACATACTTCTGCATATCTCTATCACAGTCACCCTTTTTCTTACCCCTTACCAACATGTTGTAGTGGTAGAGAGTTGCATTAGACTGGCCCAGAGGCACCAGGGAATCCACTTGAAAGCAGTGGTGTGGCCCATTGACTCCAAACACTAGTCGAGGCAACTTGAGTAATTGCTTGGTTATGAAAGACAGTGTTCAAACATTTTTAATTAAGAACTTAACGATAATATTCAACCAAAGCTCAGTTTGAAATATTTTGTAATCCAGTTGTGAGGTTAGGAAAAACAGTTTCTGAGCACAGGAGTTTCAAAACTACAGTACTGAGCAAGTTAAGATGGTACCAAAGAAAGTGTCTTCTGCGTGTCACTCCGCATGTTAATAGATGTTGAGACATGACTAAGGTGAAAGATGGATGAAAACACATTTGGTGTGACTTTTCTTGCAGACCCCAAATGGATTGCTGCTGACCCCAAGTCCACTGCTGTCCAGCATTCACTTCTGGAGCAGCCTCAGTCCTGTCGCTCCTTTGAGTCCTGCCAGGCTGCAAGGACCAAATACCTTGTTTCAGGTAGGTAACTCTACTCTCATGGGTGGTTCTTTCTGGCTTTACCTGAGAGATATATGCCAGGTAACTGTTGGATTCTTCAGGACAGTAGTTTGTACTGCATTAGAAATTTTTGTCTCTGGTTTCATAATTCCATTATGATACATCAGGCAAGAAAACAGACTTACTTGATGAGCAAAAGTGATAGTGATGCCCCTCCATCTTTCAGAAAATAAGAGATTGTCTCACACTGTTAACAGTGAGACTGTTAACAAAGAGCAAGAATTGTACCCAGTACAGTAATGGACAGTCAGGGTTTTTCCCAGAGTCAAAAGGAGGAGGAAACCCCCATTATACAGTCATGTTCCTCCAGCCCTCAGGATCCTTTCCTCCAGCTTAAGTGTGTCTTCTGTTGGAGATTCACTTAACTTTATGGAAGGCTCCTTAGGCTGGAGGAGGACTTTAAACTTTGCTTGTTGGAGTGGCATGGTACATGCAGCTATGTGTACTGCACTGGTCAAAGGATGGCTAATTATGAATATCTCCTGCTATTCCAACTGATACCCAGGGGATGGAGATCAGTTCACCTGGAGAAAATGGCCATTTGGAAGGTGCACTCTATGGCATTATACCCCATTGAAGTCCCATCTCCCCCCCAAACCCTGCCCTCCTCAGGCTCCACCCCCAAACTCTCCAGGTGAGTCTGACAACCCTACTAATTACATTGTTGATAGTCCAAGAGCATAAATAACTCCCATCCTTGCCAGAGTTAGTGATAGTGCATGGGCCTTACACAATTAACCGCAGTATGATATTTCATTCCAAGTTAAAGGCCAAACAGTTTATACTTCAAAGCTGCCTGCATCACTGCTGCAGAAGGACACAGGGAGACGAAGCTGTCAATGTGCCATAGCGAAAGCTATGTCAAGGGGAGCATTTCTAGATATTCCATGTCTCATGGAAAAAGGTCTACAGCAAGCATGGGTTACATGAATACACATGAAGTTGTCTTATCTTGAGTCAGTCCATTGGTCTATCAAGGTCACTATTATCTGTTCTGACTGGCAGAAGCTCAGGGAGAGATCTTCCACATCACCAACAAAACAATCCTTCTTTTATTCTTGTTTTTTTACTGATGATGCCAGGGATTGAATCTGGGACTTTCTGCTAACCCTTGGTCTGTCCCTGACAATGGTCTCTGCACCCTTATCCTAAAGAGAGAGGGCAGAGATGTTCGTGCAGTCACTACAGAGGCTGGTATAGCTTGCTTGGCTGATGCAGGACAAATCGTGTTCACCAGCCTGTTAACAGGTGAGCAGTTAGCTAAACATTAGCAGATTGCTGTCAGGGAGCAAGCAAAGCAAATGTGATTGCAGAGATACTTTGCCACTGATGGAGATATAGTTTTGGACCACTATGATCCTAAATCACCAAGCATGGTGCCTCTGAACGGTCATGTGTTCTTTGTTGGCTGCTAATCAACCCTGACTGTTCCCTGGAAGGCCAGATAATGAAACTGAAGCTCAAATACTTTGGCCACCAAATGAGAAGGGAGCACTCACTGGAGAAGACCCTGATGCTGGGAAAGATTGAAGGTCAAAGAAGACGGGGACGGCAAAGGATGAGATGGTTAGACAGTGTCATAGATGCAACGAACATGAAATTGAGCAAACTTCAGAGGACGACGGAAGACCGGAAGGCCTGGCGTGATCTGGTCCATGGGGTCGCAGAGAGTCGGACTCGACTGTGCGACTGAACAACAACAACAAGCTGCTTATTAACCAAGCCTATATAGCAGCATCTTTGTGGCATGTTTTGTTCAAGTATCTAGGTTTTTCATGCCTTCTATTCCTTGTTTCAATGAAGCAGAAAAGACAAATCAAACTTGGGTCAGAGTCCTCTTCAGTAAAAACTGTATGTGTTGTTTGTTTTTCTCTGCTATATCCATTCAAATGTGGTAGCAACCCCCCCCCCAGTATCACAAAAAAACTAGTTTGTGGGTCCCCCCCCCTTCCTGCTCAATGAGTGCACACTCTCCAATGATGAGAAAAAAGAAATGAAATTAAATCACACAAGGTGGCAACGAAGGAAAAAGACTGGAAAATCAAGGGGAGGCGACCCAAAACTACAACATACGATGCACAAATACAAAAAAGGGTTTGTCCCTGTTGTACTAAGTACTGCAGTTCTTGCTGAGGATGTGACCTTCTACATAACCATCCTAGAGCTCTCTTTCACCTCAGATAAACTTTTTATTTTTAGTGTTTTGCCACTTTGCACACTTGATTAGAGACGCCCTGTTAGGATCAGATAGAAGCATCTAGAGACTTGCCCTGTAGTGAGACCCAAGTGCATCCAGCAAATGTTAGTGATAAATAGAAGTGAAAAGGGAATCTGGATCCATCACATCAAGGAGCCTTATTTGACTAATATGTGGTTCAGAGAAAGGTCGAGATGACAAATCTGTTAGTGTAGGGAAAGTGTTCTTTTTAAGAACTGAACAAGAAGTGGCAACAGCAGCTGAACCTGAATCAACTCTCCAGATATTTCACTGAAAATAAAGGCTAGGTGAGGACTGATAGTTCTCTTCCACCGATAGCCTTGCACTTTGAGGGCAAAGCAGAGCCTTCTGTATTTAAAAAAATGTATTTGGGTATTAAAAGAACACGTGCATAGGGCCCAGTGAGGAATGACTGGGAAGGGGGAAATAATCCAAATGGAAAAGATCCCCTGCCCTTGACACAGATGTTCCTCTCTGAGATACCGCAAGTTGTTAGGGTCTTGAGCAGGCCAGTCTCCTTCCCTCCCCCTGCTCATGTGACTGTCAGCTGCTTTTGACATTCTAAGGGCCCAGAGAATGCTCAATGCCAGTTTTGGACGGCTCTATCCTTATTTTTTCGAATTTACATATTAGTATTTTCTTTCATATTTATGGAATTTCCCTAAATATGAAAAAATCCTGACCTCGCTGCTGGGCCGCACAGAAATCCAAGCTTTGTTTGCTTGATACGGGGTGCACAGATATTAGTAACTCACAAGATGTAGACATCTTCCAAACATTATGGAAGCGGGGAGGGGCTTTGAAGAACAATGTGAGCTTCCTTCCCATTTTTTGAGGAGTCCGAATCCAGAGTTTATTTTTTCCTTTCCCATTTCTGTATGCATATGGCTGAGATTCTTTTTGTTTTCAGAACAATGTGCCAGCTATACCTCCTTTCCCCTGCAGCGGGAAGAAGAGCTACTATGATGAGACAGAAGGGAGGTTTGTGTTTGAGCTGCCACATTGATGCTGTGTTTAGCTGTATATACAAGGGCCAAAGCAGATGCTATGTGGCAGTTATTTCAGTGCTGTATCAGCCATGTTAACATACAAAACAGGGTGGCCTAATTTTTAACATCCAGAGGAATGCATGGTAAAACAGGACAGAACTAGGGGTGTGCAATTTTTTTAGGTTTGGGTCCATTGGACCTGAAATTTTTTGGTATTTCTGAAAAATCCCAGTTCCAAGTACTGGTATGGTATTCAGATCTGGAATATTTCAGAAATCTGGGATTTTTTCAGGTCCAGTAGACCCCAAGAAGAACAATATAGGTTTAAAAAAATACAGCTCAATCCTGAGGTTGGCTTGGCTTCTCCTGCCGCGCGGATTAAACCTGGCGATGCAGGAGAAGCCGGCCCCAGGATCTGCTGTGCCACGGGGAGGTCTCTCCCTGTCGCAGACCTGGCTGGGGTGGCTTCTTCTGTGGCGCAGTTTAAACTGCTGGCCCCAGGATCTGCATGCAGCAGGGAGGTCTCTACCCACCACACACACAGAGCCAGTTTGGTGCAGTGGTTAGGAGCACAGACTCGAATCTGGGAGAACTGGGTTTGATTCCCCACTCCTCCACTTGCAGCTGCTGGTGTGACCTTGGGTCAGACACAAGTTCTTTCGGAGCTGTTCTCTCATGAGCAGTTTTCAAAAGAGCTCTCTCAGCCCCACCTACCTCACAGGGTGTCTGTTGGGGAAGGGGAAGGGAAAGGAGATTGTAAGCCGCTCTGAGACTCCTTTGGGTAGTGAAGAGGTGGGGTATAAGTCCAGTCTCTTCTCTTCTTCTTCTCCTCCTGCAGCATGGTTTAAACTGTAATGCAGGAGAAGCTGGCCCCAGGATCTGCTGTGCTGTGGCTAGCAGACGGCTCCCTGTGGCACAGCAGCTTCTGGGGCTGGCTTCTCCTGCAGCCCGGTTTAAACCAGGCTACCCAAGAAGCCACCCCTAAGCTGAGCCGGCAGGAACAGTCTGCTCCTCCCAGCCCAGCCGATTCTCAGGCTTTAAACTTCCTGAAATCCTGAATTTTTGGGGTCCAACGAACCTGAGAAAAAAAATACTGGTAGAAAAAAAAAAAGCCCAGCCCAATCCTGGGGCTGGCTTGGCTTCTCCTGGTCTCTCAGCCTTTACTCTTTGTGCTTGGCTTTCTTGATACACCCCAACCCCTCGCCCTTTCCTCCATGGAAAGAAGGATTTCGTCCCTTGTGAAGTCTTTTTTTTTAATCCCTAATACTGATAACAGGGGTCCCCAATCTTTTTGAGCCTGTAGGCACATTTGGAATTCTGACACGGCACGGTGGGCACACCAACAAAATGGCTGCCACAAGAGGTGGAGCCAGCTACAAAATGATCGACAGAGCTTAACTTGAGTAAGACAGTGTAGATCCTCTGCTGTGGTGGCAACTACTTCCAAAGCACATTTTTAAAATCTGCACAGCCAGTCAGAAGCCTTGCTGGGCAAAAGGCCTATGTGGCCTCACCTACTTCCTCAAAACACTTGGCGGGTGCCAGAAAAGATGTTGGGGGGGGCACCATGGCACCGGCGGGCACCATGTTGGGGATACCTGCTCTATAAGATAAACGTAAGAACATAAGAGAAGCCAGTGTTGGATCAGGCCAAAGGCCCATCCAGTCCAACACTCTGTCACACAGTGGCCAGAAATACCAGGTGCCATCAGGAGGTCCAGCAGTGGGGCCAGGACACTAGAAGCCCTCCCAGT